CCAGACTTCGTCTCACCTACTTTGGTCATGTTGTCAGAAGGGACCATTCCCTGGAGAAGGATGTCATGCTTGGTAGGATGGAGAGTCGATGAAAGAGGGGAAGGCCTTCAACGAGATGGATTGACATGGTGGCTGTGATGATGGGCTCAAGTATAGCAGGGATTGTGGAGCTGGTGCGGGATCAGGCAGTGTTTCTTTCTGCTGTGCATGGAGTGTCTATGAGTTGGAAATGACTCGACGGCACCTAACAACAAACAACAACACAACTTCCAGGAAGAGCCTAATTGCTTTCAAGGAGAATAGTTTGCACTGAGAAAATTGTTTTTAACAAAATACAGTCATTCTATAGTTTGTTTGTTTGTTTGTTTACTGTCTTAAAAACAGAGAAATGATATTCTTTAATATACTTGCAGAATGATCAAGTGAAAAACTTAAAAAGGAACTGAAAGGTTTTCAGGAAAAATTAAATGTGATTTGTTTTTGTTTTCCTTCTAGGAAGATCTCTCTCTTTGCAAAAATCTTAGTGTTTTATATTTATATGATAACCGTATTAGTCAAATCACTAACCTGAATTTTGCCACAAATCTGACTCACCTGTACCTTCAGAACAATTGTATCTCATGTATAGAGAACCTCAGATCATTAAATAAACTGGAAAAACTGTAAGTGTCTTCATTTTTAAGTAATGTAAATGTTTGTCATAATTATAATACTTATATTTTATGCACATAGGCATTTCCATTACTGTGTTAAGTTCCAAATGTAAAGTGAATATGAAATAGAGTCTGATTCTCACAGGACTTTCTGGTACAACTCTTAGTTTTTCTTTATTTTCTTGCACTATTATCTGGTAGCATAGTGGCTAAAGCACTTGACTGCTAACCAGAAGGCTGGTGGTTCAAACCCACCACCCACTCCTCGGAAGGAAGGTTGGGCAATCCTACTTCCGTAGTGATACTGCCTCGAAAACCCAAGGAGGGGTCGCTATGAGTCGGGGCCGACTCGATGGCACATAACAACAACAACAACATTACCAGTACAAAGTAGTTTCACACTTAATACTAAACAATTTGTTTTATTAAGCCTAATAGGTTTCTTTTGTTGGGGGGGTGGATGGAATTATCTTAAGGGCTTGTTATTCTTGTTAGTTGTTGTTCAGTTAATTTCTACTTGTCAACTCACTGCCAATGAGTCCATTCTGATTCATACTGACCCCCACTGGGTTTCCAAGACTGTAAATCTTTAGGGAAGAAGATTGTCCTACCTTCCGTTCACAGAAGGAGCTCTGGAGGCCTAGTGTCTAAGGCATCTGAGTGCTAACCAGAAGGCTGGCGGTTCAAACCCACCAGCCACTCCCAGGAGGTATCACTATGGAAGTATGGGCAATCTACTTCCATAGTGATACCTCCTGGGAAACCTAAGGATGGGTTGCTACGAGTCAGATCTGACTCCACAGTGAGTTTGGTTTGGTTTTTGGTTCCTTCCACAGAGCAGCTGCTGTGTTTGAACTACTGACCTTTTGGTTAGCAGCCAAATGCCTTATTCACTATGCCACCAGGACAGCTGAGATATCCTCATGTAGGCTCACCCAGTGAAAAAGTCCTATGGAAAGTAGATGCGTTCTGTGCCTTTCAGGAACTTTCATCTCAAAAGGACAGGGTCACAATAATAATGTTGATGAAGATTTTATTTTAAAAGGCATTTACTGCCTACTGAGGATCCCTGGTGGTGCAGTGATTAAAACGCTGGGCTGGTAACCTAAAGGTCTGCAGTTAGAATCCATCAACCACTCCAGGGAAGAAAGATCTGGCATCATGCTTCTGCAAAGATTTACAACCTTGGAAACCTTATGGGGCAGTTCTCCTCTGTCCTATAGGGTCACTTGGAGTAGGAATTGACTGGAAGGCAGTGTGTTTGGATTTTTTTGTTTTGTTTTAATGACTACTATTAGACAAGGAAAACTGAGGATCCAATTCCTCCAAATTGGAAGAACTAGCAGTGCTTATTAAAATGTATGTCAAAAGCCTCAGAATGGGGAGATGAGAGTTGGGTATAAATGCAGGTTACTACATTCCAACCTTGACTTGCAAAGCAGACTCTCTTTGGGTTAAATCCAGAACTCTGCATTGTTAAAGCCAAGTGATTCTTATGCATTCTAGCATTTGAGAATCTCTGATACAGAGTTTAATAAGGACCACTGTATTCTCACTTGTTTAAAAAATTTTAAAAAATTGAAAATTTATTTCTTAGATTAAATGAAGTCTAAGAATAAATTGTCATGTAGATGAACTTTTCATGGACTCAGTATAAACAGGACATTATGTAAAATTTTAGCATAGCTCAATGACTTTTATTATTGTGTTTTTATCATGTTTACATTCTCAAAAGTATTTATATAGGATTATGCCTTTGTTTTGCAGGTATCTGGGTGGCAATTACATTGCTGTCATAGAAGGTTTAGAAGGATTAGAAGAACTAAGAGAGCTTCATGTTGAGAGTCAGAGGCTTCCCCTAGGAGAAAAACTTCTATTTGATCCAAGAACTCTTCATTCTCTGGCAGTAAGGACCATTTAAGTTATTTTGAGAAGGAATATAATGATTAATTTGCTATAATGGAACAGATAAATGGTGAAGGTATATTTGGACATTATAAATTCTCTGCATGTGTATATGGGCAGTTAAGAGCTTATTTGAGAGATAAAACTAATTCCCACCCCCCCATAATTTCTCAGAGACTTAGCATCTATCTATAAAGTGGGGATAATTGAAGAATGTGAAAGGTTATGTAAACTATGAAGATCTAATACAGATGTTAATTCATTCACAGTTTGGGCCTTGGTGATTATCATTGCTCACAATTTAAATTTTCAGGAATAAAACTAAGGAAAGAGGAGTGCACAATTATTTGGTGGATTTTAAACAACCTAGAAAGCCAGTAAAGGAGCCCTGATGGCAAAATGGTTAAGCACCTGGCTGCTAACTTAAAGGTCAGCAGTTTGAATCCACCAGCCACATCAAGGGAGGAAAGACCTGACATTCTGCTTCCATAAAGATAATAGCCTAGGAAACCCCATGAGGCAGTTCTAATCTGTCACATTGAGTTGTTATGACTCGGAATCCACTTGGCGGCACACAACAACAATAGACAGCCCATTACTATAATAAGATGATTTCTCTCTGGATTCTGATTGAATTATAGATTGTGCTACAAAAGAATCAGCCTCATCAGACCCATGTAGGTCTGAGAGCATTGGGTTCAAGAGTGACATAGGTGACTGTTACCTGAAACCAGTCACTTCATCAGAGGTGTCAAATGACCTGAGAAGTTAGAGGGTGCCACTGAGATACTTGCTAATGCACAAGACAGGGATTTGTAGTAATAGTGTAAAAATGGTGCTGCATCATTTGATTGCATCTAACTTCACAAGGAGGAGAGAGAACAAGATCAGTGTCAGCCCAAAGCTGATTCCTATGAAGTTGAGGTCAAACATACTGCTACCTTCCAACCTTTTTACCAATTCTGACACCAGCTGTTGCTCCCACAGCACACTACTTCTGTGCTGGGTTTGATAATTCATTACCGTTATATCAGTACTCACAATTATGGGGTTTATTAGGGAAGTAACAGGGTACATTCAGGATCAGGATCAAGAAGCATGTTGGCAGTCTCCCTTCCTCAGTGCAGGAGACCCCATGAAGACACACTCCTCTCTGTCCCCTGAGGACAGGCACCTCTTAGCCCTTTAAAGATAGACTCTTCTTGCCCACTGAGGATAGACTCCTCTTGACTCCCTCAGGACAGGCTCTTCTCAGCCCCCTGAAGACAGGCTTCTCTGGATCCCCTATAAACAGGCTTCTCTTGACCCCTTCAGGCCAGGCCTTTTCTCTCAGCCCTCAGCCCTTGATCCTGCTCAGTACTGTTCTCTGTCCTGCTTGGGCAAGTGTTACAAAGCTCTGTAGCAATGCTAATAAGTGCCAGAGGTACCATACTCTGCCAGGAATGCTCCTGCCCAAAGGCACTCAGCTCTCTCCCTCTGTAGGTCAGCATACTCACCATAGCTGCCTCATTCCATTGGCCAAGAAGCCTACCATGCTGTCTTGCTCAATATCCTGGTTCTTCTACTGCTGTTTCTCTGCCACTGCTTCTCAAGATCTCACACCTATCCAGGTTACAGCTCTCTCTCTTTCTGTCTCCTAGGTATAGAAAGTTCTAAGTACAGGGACCTAGGTCAAAAGAACACACTAAACTCCTGGTTCTTCTTTCTTGATGACAGTGAGATCCCCACTTCATTCTGGGATTGGCTCTCTTTTTAAGCCTAGTGGGGTGGCAAAACAGGCCAATCTTCTCATTAGGGTTCCATACACCTTATATGCATTGTCTCACCCCCTGAGGGTTCCAGGCACCTTGTTTGCATTATTAACAATGCTCTCCAATTCCCTTGGTGGGCCAAAAGAGCTTTATTTTCATAGTCCTACCAGTCATTGCATGGGCGTTACATGATTACACATAGCTAAAAGGGCCATATTAAGTAATTCAGAGCACCATAGATAGGCTGGCTTCAATTCCAGGGCAGTAGACATAAATGTCCTGGGTGGGGCAAGTGCTTAAAGCACTCAGCTGCTAACTAAAAGGTTTGTGGTTTGAGTCTAGCCAGAGAACCTTGGAAGAAAGGCCTGGTGATTTACTTCCAAAAAATCAGCCATTAAAAAACATATGGAGCACACAGTTCTACTCTGATACGCATGGGGTTGCCATGAGTCAAAATTGACTGGAAGGTAACTAGATTTTCTTTTTAAAGACATAAATGGGACATGGTTGTTGTTTTCATGGATTTCATTGGGTTTATTTTAGAAGGAACAGAAACAAAGGGAAGTGGAAGGTTTTGAACCAAATTTATAAAAATTGAGGGGTAGTACTTTAAATTGTAAAATAAATAAGTGGCTTTGGTTTCTATTCTGTCCTTTTTCCACCCTCCCCATAAAATCAACTGTCACCAACCTCAGCTCATCTTCAACTGATCCAATTAGAATGACCACTGTGAGTGGAGATGGCTAGTTTTACTATGAAACACCACTGAAAACATTTTTGCTGTCTGTATTTTTGCATAGATTCAAACAGATTCTGAAATTCTAAGCATAAGACATCATTTTTTTAGTTGTGTTTCAAATCTTAAAATGTATTAGGAAATAGCTTCTCTAAAGATTGCCTGTGTGTGTGGACCCTTCTTCAGTGGGTAGACTCCATATTTGGACGACTTTGGAGACTTCTAGGCCCCAGACTTTAAGGTGGTTTTGGTTTAGTGTCTCTGTCTTGTATATTTATGTCCTCATTAGCAATTAACATTAAACTTGTTAACTAGTGAATTATTATTTTAAGTGGCTTCTGGATATATAGATTATTAAGAGAAAACTATATGTAGAGGTCAAGATAAAAACAAAAACAAGATATTCTTTAATTCTTGGTCATGTTTCCTGATTAGAAAAACAAAGACAAAAATTATTTCCTCTTATGTAAGTCCAAATCTTAGTGATATTTAGCACAAAATGATAATTTGCCTAAACTAAAATAAGCATTTTTTAAAATTATGTTATAGTATATTTACTTTATTGGGGCATCTCTTCCCATTCTTTGCTTCTTGCTTGTTGGCTTCTTTCTTTCTGTAAATTTCTCATATCCTATAAGAGTAAAATAGGACTTACAGAGAAACCATAGGCAAATATAGTAAGTTACATTCCAAGTGCATATGTTTCTAGAAGTTCTGCCTGAAAAAAAAAATATGACTTGGATACAAAATTTCCACCTTTTAATCTTCTTATCTAAAGAGGAAAACAACCTGAACTGATGAATCTTTACCTTTTCAAGAAGGCATAGGATTTCTAGTTCCTATACATAGGGTTGCCATGAGTCTAAATTGACTTGACTGCAATGGGTTTGGTTTGGGGTTTTATACATAGTATTTAAATAGACACTTTCATAAGCTAATTTAGTTATTTTTCCTACAGAAATCCCTCTCTCTATTGAATATTAGCAATAATAATATTGATGACATAAGAGACTTAGAAACGCTGGAGAATCTTAGTCAGCTCATAGCAGTTGACAACCAACTTCTGCATGTGAAGGTATGATAAAGAAAAATTAATTTAAAAATATTTACATAAAATATTCATGAAAATATATTTTGAATTAATTATAAAATGTTTCACCTTTAAAACTCTTCTGGATTTTTTCTGTAACTAGCTTAAGAATCTCTACTTACTATAGTTGTGTATTACTACCCTCTTACCTGGGCTTTCTCCTCTATACCACAGTGCTTCCATCCCTCACCAATGGAAAAAAGTTTCTCTGTGAGGAAATATATGCTTTTTCTATATATATATTACTTTTGCATCAAACATTTTTTACTAGAGACTAGATTTCTTGCCCCTTAACTCTGATCTCTCAATAAATGAGTTTCTAATAACTGTGACCAGCCCTGAACTCTCTCCTGGCTCCTACTATTTGCGGAAGTACCCTGGATCTTGAATTTATCCTAATTTTCACCACCTATATTCTTACCATTTTCTCTCATATCATACCACATTTATTCAATTGTTTATGCATTCAAATATGCCTTGGATGCCTACATATTTGTCAGGCACTGTACTAGGTGATGTAGAACAGAGGAGGAAAAGATAGAATCCTTGGACTCAAGGAACCCACAGTCGACAAGTAATGAGACTACAACATGATTCTGTTTTCAAAAGTGGTGAAATGAATGAATGTCTCTAGAAAGCCTTCCATATCCCTAGCTGAGTTAGGGCTACCACAGCATTTTATTATATTACAATGGGATAGGAGAGGGAAAGGTCAGAAAATAAATAAGAAACATTGTGAAAAGTGCTATGAAGGAAATAAATAGGATGATGTAATGGAGAAGGATCAGTGAGTATTTTAGATCAGATTATCAAAAAAGGGCTTTGAAGAAATGACACTTACCCTGAGATAGGAAGGACAAGAAAGAAGCAAGCTGTGAAAAGAGCTGGGGAAAGAACATACTGAGTATGAAGAGCTGCAGATGCAAAGGCTCTGAGGCTGATGGAACTTGAAGTGTCTGAGGAACAAAAAAGAGGCTTTTGCATTGTGTTAGGGTCTCTAGGTGAAAAATCAATTGTATCCCTACATACTAGCAAGTGAGCAACTAGAAAATTAGAAAATGAGATTAAAAAAAAATACATTTACAATTTCATCAAGAACCATGAATACTTATGGGAGTTCCGGCAAGATGGAGGACTAGGCAGAAGGACTGCACAGACGCTCTTCACAAAGAAAAGGGAAACCAATTGACACAGACACAGAAGATAATCTTGGACCACTGAGCCTTGAAGGGAAGGATATAGAAGTAGACTAAACCCCAACTAGCAGAAGAATTTGCATGAAAATACCAAAAAAGGAGACATAAGGAGCTACAGTCTGGCAGGGACCTGAATGCCCCTGACGGCACAAACAGCTTGGGCATTCCCAAGTGGTGGTAGGACCTAAGAATTAACCCAAAAATCACCCTGCTAGCCAGGGACTGCACGGACTGTGCACGGTGGCTGGGGAACAAACAGAGAAGGTG